TAATTGTCGATGAAGTTTTTTTTATTCAAGTACATACTTTGAATATTCATTCAAGAGAATATTTTTCTTCTCAAAATCATCTGTGTTTCTCAACACGATTGAAAAATAGTTTTCATCTACATTAACAAAAAAACTGTTATAAACAATCCAGGATTATTCTTATAATTGTTTTCAGAAAATAAATGTTATTCTGAGAACAGATATATGTGATAAAATGAAATGTATTCATTGTTTTCGATCCTTTTTGATAAAACACGGCAGCAGCCATATGATTTGTTATATAACAAACAGGTGTAACTCTTAAACAATTAGAGATCGATGATGGACATTCAGGTCTTTTTGATACAGGATACATCAATCATCAATATTAGCTATTATAACTATTCATAATTATGACAAAGAAACGACTGAACGTCAATAACATTCAAGAGAAGTCGCACAATTATTATTGGAAACGGATATAGTGTTTGAACAATTAGAGGTACTGATATGAATAAATGATAACTTTGTAAATATTTTATCTGTGAATAAAATTGTCCTTGAAGGCCTGTCTCCGGATTTTCATTACTTAACAAGTTGTACATCGAGAAAGATATGAAAGTTTCAAAAAAGTCTCAAATTTTTATAAACGAATTCATATTATAAATTATAGACCTGACGATTACACGTAATCAGAATTAACTCGAATTTGATGTATATAGAAAATCGAGCTATACAGACATCACAATCACAAGTGATTCTTTCCATCCTGGTAGTCATAAATCAGCAGCCTACAATTCAATGTTGCACAGAACATTCTCGCTACCTTCATCTGCTGATAATCTAGATAGGAAAATTAGAATAATTATACAGATGGGACATATTGATGGTATCAATGCAGACACAATCCAGAAGTTACTCAGAAAACAATGCTTCTAATTTACTTACAGATCAATATACTCACAGATCAAACAACCAGAAATCAAGAAATTTGTAACTCTAGCATATCTTGGTAAAAGAACAGATACAATTGTGGGTTTTTTCAGAAGAAACAATGTGCAAGTGGCATTCCGACCACATGCCAAGTTATCTAATTTCCTTTTTGAAGCCGACGATGAAGTGGACAAGAAATTTGGATTTTATAAGCTTGAGTGTTTGGGATGTAATAGTGTTAGTGTAAGACAATGTGGTCGAAGTTTCTTAAAACGTTATGCTGAACATGAGAGGTCGTTCAGACCGGTTACAAATGATTCGACGTTTTCAAACCATTTCTTGGAATGCAACCACAAGTTCCCGATACAGGATACGGGATTTTCCCGATATGGAAATTTTGCAGTGTGCAATCAAAGGTTGGAAACTCCATTATTTTAAATCTTTGAATATCATAAGCATAAGCATTGCGAATGTAATTTGCTGAATGATCAAATCGATCTAGTTTACTCACCAGTTTTCAAATTAGTATATCCTCATTGTCATAGGTAAACAAATTCCAGGTAGTCAATCATGTTAAGGACCTCTATTATTACCTACAGTAGATATATAAGGGCTAACATTATGTTAGTTTATTGTAATTGTTTTAAAATGTCCTTATAAGATCAAACTGCAGTAACACTAGGTACAAATAAAAGTGGAAAAAAACATAGAAAGTTTAATTTCTCATTTTTCATGATGATCTTCCACCACGAAGTAACGGCTACATCCATCAGTTTAATATTTCATTCAATTACATCATTCCATACACCAAAATAGCATTTTTCTTTAGAATTTCCATTACAATTCTGACCAATGAAATATTTCGTGAACTTGAACATTTTTAATAATATTTTTACAAAATGTTTTGTTGTATGGAAAATTTTGCGATTTCGCACTTTATCTATGTTTTATTCAGAACTTATGAATGAGCATTCGATGTGCAAAATATTTCTCCAAACTGAAGTTGTTTGTTGGTAAATTGATCAATCGAATCAATCAGTACTAGATAATATGCAAATAAACTACCTATTTATTTTAATTAAACATTTCTTATCATTTTGATTTGAGTTTCAAGTGTACTTTTCATACTTTTGTATTCATCTAAATAATAATTACCATGGAGTTCATAGTAATAATCTTATAAATCATTTCAATCTATTGATGATTGATTATTAAAAAGTGAAAGCGACGTGGAATAAATCCACAAGAAGCACGTTTCTTAATCACTAGAAATGCAATACTCTTCCCTTCGCGCGCTTCAGGAGATGAAGAAAACTTCACCTTCTAAAGCGCTAACTTGGTTGGTGAAACGTACGTCAAGAAGAGTCTTGAGAAAGCATTTGATATATCATGAAAAAATCGTAGAAAGCACATTATTTTTCATCTCATACAAATAATGTCAGTAGGTGATTATATAAGGCTTTATGTAGTAGTGAAATATCTATCGTATACTCATACATCAAATAGAGAAATAGAAAATTACAAAACAGTTCCAATTATTTCCTGATTGTATCGACGTATTGGTGAGATGTTGGAACTTGAAAATATTTCTTGTCTAGAACAACGATACCTACATAGTATTTCGTTTCAAAACTTTTTGTATTCCAATAAACTTAAAAAAGTCACTCAATAAATTCATTTGATTTTTTCTAATTCTGTTCATATATTCCTATACACACTTTTCTATATACATTTGAGAAATTTTTGTATTTTAAGAAACTTAAAAGTAGTAGATTACAGCCGGTTCTGGGCCTCCCCCCAACACTATGACGTATCAATTGCTTTTTTTGTTGTTTAGTGAAGTCAAGGCGATGTGACCTTGAAGTGTCTGGTGCATGGATCGTTCAGAAGTTTTTTCATATGAGATTTTGTGTGTGTGTGTGTGTGTGGCATAATGACGTAATTTCATTTGGTTGGTGCATATGTGTGTTGGTGTGTGTGTGTGTGTGTGTGTGTGTGAGAGAGAATGCACGGTACAGGATTTCATCATGTGCTTGTCTATGTACAAACATACGTCTGCATACTTCGAAGATCATTCAAGTAATGAATGTTCCATCGGTGTGAGCCCACCAAATTAGTAGTGGTGTGACGTCACAGCAACCGTTCGAAGGCAGGAAAGCGAGATGTTCATTCCACGACGTGTGACTGAGTAATGCGTATTCATCGGTGTGCCCTCACCTTTCTCGATACGGTGAAGACGGTGACGTAACGCATCGCTCTAGCCTCGCTGCCGATGGTGACACGCAGGTATCACCTAGGACTGGCCTAGGACTGTGTTAACGTCTGCCCTCTACGAGAGTGCAACGACCAATGTCTGTTCGTATCGACATCTGTTACCGCATCCAGCTGGGAGGTGGGCTTGGCTGTGACGTCAGGCATCTCTAGTGGGTAGCAATTTGCAATATGCACCATTCACGGTTTCATGGTGGTGGTGACTCGCGCTGTTCAACATAAAAGAAATGCCTGGCACACTTCGAAATCAGTAGATGAATATATATGCAGCAGTTAGCAATTGGTAAAGTGTTATTCAGTTCGTAATAGAAGAAAGACGGTGAGTGTATTTTTCTGTTTCCGAACAATGAAATAAATTTGAAAAGTCAACTAGTAGAGACAACAGCAGCTGTTAGGCAGAAATCAACTCTATCAATAATGATGATATTGAAAATCGTATGACACTCGAAAAATTGTATGAGCCCATAACGAAACCATTGAATGTTTCATCATCAAACGCTTCTTCGAAATCATCA